ATGCTATTGGTTGTTGCTGAAGGGCTTTGTTCTATATCCTAATTCCTATGCTTAGATTTAACTTTGGGAGAGAAAGAAAGGATCCTGATATATTATGGGGAGAGGAAAATAAGATGTTCTCAGAACACTTGGGTTTTGGCAAATAATAATGCAGAGTGAGCCATTTAAAAAGTTTTCTGTAAATGGTGCCCTCTGAGAAGTGTAGCTAATAGCTATGTAATGGAGCTATATTCTATCACACATACTTTTGTGACATATCACTTATTCTCAAACCTATCTTCTTGAGATCAGGAATAGCATCTTAATAATTGTAACCCTAGCAGCTGGCTCAGGTAGTCAATAATAATTTATTAGAAATATTTTAGGATTCTGTTAGAATATTGATCCATATGTACTTTACTAATTGTCTAGCTGGCTTGCCATTCTCTTTCTAAAAAAAAAGTAATCTTTAAAATCTCATAGTTTACATGTGAAAATAATAATCAGATTGCATATACTTGTTTCAATTAGTAGAGAAAGAATGTACATCTCACCTTAGTTTTTGATGCTTTAATACTTGTATCTTTTCAACTTGATTCTCATTAAGCTCATTCTTTTTTATAGGGAGGGGGTTTGGGGTATTGAATCTAAATGGGCTTTACCACTGAGCAATAGCCCCTCCCCTTTTTATTTTTTATTTTGAGAAAGGGTCTTCCTATGTTTTTAGGGCCTTGATAAATAAGTTGCTGAGGCTGCTCTTGAACTTGTGATACTACTGCCTCCGCCTCTGCAGTTGCTGGGATTACATGTGTGTACTACCTTGTCCGGCCTGGCTCATTCTTTTTCATGTGTTTTACCTGACCAAATCACTAACTATAGCGGGCCTATAAAAGGGAATAAATAGCCTATTTGTTGATGCTTGAGTTATATTTCCATCTAAGATTTCAATAATCTTTCCAATTCTGTTCCTGTAGAACAAAGAATATCTTTTTGTATATTGAAATGGCATTGTTTTTATTCATTTGTGTAGATTGTGGTGATGTGTAAAGATGTATTTATACAGTCACATAAATGTGAAGGTTTTTTAAAGAGTAGTAAGATAATTAAATGTTTTATACTTAGAACAGTTTATTAAATTTGCATTGTAATTTTAACATGAAGCATTAAAATGAGATCACAGTATATTTTATATATATGAAAGAAAAATCAGACTATGCCATCTACAGCTTTTCAAAGACACACAAGTCCTTGTTGTCAAAGACATTTAGTACTTGGAGATTGTGTCCCAAAAAGGTTGTAAGTACAGCACCTTTGTTTCCCTGCCTTTGAGGTTAAAAGTAAATAAGTGAAGATCTTTTGGGACCCAGACTGAAATACTTATGGGAATGGAGATGGGGGGTGTGGTTATGCAAGTAGTGTCCTGAAGAGTTTGCATCATTCTTTTGGATGGGTATAGATGGTATGTGTATGTAGTGACCTAGATATGACCTGAGAATGAGTAACTTCTCTCATCCATGCTTACATTTGTTCAGCAATCTGTTTCTGAACACTTGAGTTCTTTTTGGTTTTGCTGACTATTCCATGGTGACAGCTACAAAAACATTTAACCTGTTTAAGTAATTCACAGACTTATGTGAAGAGAATTGTCTCTGTATTATAAATTCACACATTTTGTATCCTCTTTCTCCTTGAAGGGGCTTCTGGGGTGGGTGGTAGGGAATATCATTTCTTAAATGATAGTGAAATCTTAAAATGGATGATCAAAATTGTAATTATTTGATGATCTAAACCTATGAATTGGGATGGGGTGATGGCTCAGTGGTAGAGCTCTTGCCTCATGTGTGAAGCACTGGGTTTGATCCTCAGCACCACTTAAAAAAATAATAATAAATAAAATGAAGTCATAAAAAACCCCTACACATATAATATAATGCTACTCTAAAATGACAACGTGCACCCTGTTTTTATTTTTAAAGCTTTACACTAAGCGTGAATGTCGTTGGAGGGAACAGAAGTAGGAAGRCAAAACCTTGGACTTTTAAGTCCATGTCTGTTGCTATATAAACAACTTTAAATATGCTAGTAATTACTCCCATCTGAAAAGAGTGAATGTTACTTTTTCTTCAAAGAACATATAATTTTACTCTCACAATCAGAAACAGGATGAAAAATGCTATTTTCTCAAATGAGACTAATAGTTGCTTGATTAGAAGTAAGTTCCTTGAAGGGTTTGTATTCAGTATCACCTGGAACAGTGCTTATATGGAAACAAAAAAAAGGCATTGAAATTGTTGGCATCCTTATGTGATTTTTATAATCCTTTATAAGTATGAGATCTGAAAATGTGATAATAGCTGTGTCTTCAGATTATCTTTGTTATAACAGGATTGTGTTGTGAAGATGGTCTTTAAGAGAYATAGCTTCAGGAGATTGTAAACATTGTGATGCTTAGGTTTAAAGTTCTTTATTTGGATTACATGTGAGTATATTTAAAACTTTTGGTAGAACATTTATATTTGATGGCATAAAGATATGTATTTAGCATAAATTAAACATCTTTGAAAACTTTTTACTATGTGATTAAATTCTCAGTTCCTAATAACTGAATTTTTGTCACCATTTTGGCCATTCCTAAATTGCTTATTATGGATATTATTTTTGAGCTAGTTGATAATTTGTGACCTCTCTGTTGTGTGATAAAACATTATTGTACAAATGCTTTAGTAGTCATTGGATTTGATTTCACTATCATGCATTATAGTACAGTCTATTGTTGCCTAATTTAGTAATAATTTTTTCGTCTCAGCTTAACATCTCTTATAATTTTAATTGTTATCAAGAAGAATGACATCGTTTAATTTGACTTAAAATGCAGAAGGATGGATGAATGACAAATTAATAATTTACCACCTTTGCATAATACTGCAGCATAGAGTATTAGAAGGATTGATGGCATAAAAGGTTAACAAATTTTAGCAGCTTTCATTAGCTTTACATCGTCATATGTTTGTGGTGCTGACTGAAATAGGCTTTGTAGGAGATCTCAGTCTAGGGAACTAATTACTTGTGCCGATTGCCGCACTGATGAATAGACTCTTATTGTATCATTCCCCTGAAGACGAGCCGCAGCCTGTGATTCACGACTGCATCCTGGCTGATATTTGATAATAATTTTAACAGATAAATATAGGTAGGCAGAATGATGAAGTACCTATCTAAGCTACATGACTATCAAAGCCATGCACATAGCCATCTGTGCACTGCCTTTCTGCCTCTCACCTAAGGAGAATTTTATTTCATTAACTGAGTTCAAACAACTGTTGTCTTTTGCTTGTGTGTATTATTCATAACTATTTCCAATTTGCTCTTTAAATGAAATTATGGTATTAGTTTTTATTTAAGCTCGAGATGACAAAATAATGAAGAAATTTGAAGAGTAAAAGAGCTTTTTTATTTTTTCTTTCTAATGATTGCAATTCTCTTAGACATTTCTGTATTCCATTTGATTATATAATATCTCCTTCTCCTCATGCATGACCAGTATCAACAAAGGAAATGCTTGATGTTCTTATTGTCTCTTCAGCATTCTTAGAAAAGACCACTGGATTCCTATTGTTTTTAAAATAGTTTCTTCAAATAATGTACTGCTTGTTGTCTATTCTTTTATAACCTGAGATAATTGAGATAATAGTTATGAGATAAAAATATTTTATTTATAAATCTATTTTGAATTTTTAAAGAGAACATCTTTAAAACATCAAAATAAGGATGACTTTTACTTATGTGTTTGGGGATTGTCATTTGGTTAAGACTACTAATTTGTCAAAGCTGACAGGTACAATTTTATTAGCTCATGGAATACAAGTAAAATTTTATTTTGTATTAGCCATTCCTTTAGAAGTTTTAATTATTTATGAATACTTTCTTATTTTACTATCAAAACTTATAGGTTTTCATGCTGTACATGTTTAGTGAATATGTTCACTAAATACATATTCTCCAGAGATTTTTTTCCTTACTGTAACTGGAAAACCTTCATATTAGTATTTTCCTTATAAAATATTTTCTAGCATGCTAGATCACAATTAGTTAACAGGAGAGAAAGCTGACATTTATATGTTGCCATATAAAAGATCTATGTAATTTGGGAAATATAGAACTTGAATTTTAAAAATGAATTTCCGAAAGTATGCTTTCGATATAGCAATTATTGCACATCATATACTATGTAGTTTTTAATTAAATATAAAAACAGGCTACATAAAACAGAAATCCAATCTGATTTGCTTGAAAATAGATTGCTATTTCACTCCACAGGAATGGTTTATTTAAAAACAGTAAATGGAAAAGAAATGCATTTTCTTCTGTTGTTCTAAGCCTCAGGGGCTAAATGTAATGAATATTTTAAGAGATTATTTTAATTAAATTCCTGCACATCTAAACAGAGTAATATTTTATTATCACATACATAACCATGTAACTGAGATATTCATTAAAGTTAACACTTTCTGGACCAAGAATTCATGGTATGATTTACTGACCTTGTGCAAAAAGGCACAAATTAGGAAGAAAAATGAAGGGGGACAGACTTTGATTAATATAGGTAATGCTATACCATATTTATAATAGCCTTTTCCCTATTCTGGTTTATAAATGCAGCCACAGAGAAAGGTGCCCTGCTGAGGCTGAAATGAGGCTGAAATCAGAGCACATGCCACTAGAGTGTGGGGAAACTGATCACACTGTCAGCAATTCATTTCAAAATGATGTATTTAGTGCTCATTTCACCTTCCAAGAAAAGGAAAAGGAGTTCCTTAGACCAGAAGGTGATATTGTTATTTTCAAGGACATACCTAAGTTAAAGATTGCAGAAAGGGGAGTGTGAGATGGGGGAGAATTAAGAGGAAGGAGAGAGAGAGAAAAAAAAGGCAGAGCAAACAAGGAGAGCTTTATGCAGAAATTCGGTGCTACCACGCTGTTTGATAATTGCTAACATATGTGGCTTCTCTGTTTCATTGTAGTCGTCCTCGTGAGTTCTGGCGCCTTGACTACTGGGAAGATGACTTGCGGCGCCGGCGACGATTTGTGCGTAACCCTCTAGGATCCACACATCCTGAAGCGACGCTAAAAACAGCCGTGGAACATGGTCAGTGTATAAACCACTCCTTGCCAGTAGCAGCAGGTACAGTACTTGGTAATGAAGAGCATAACTTCATTATTACAAGGCACTGTAAAATCGTCCAACACCACATTTCATAGTTATTCACCTCAGAAAGAGAGGTTAAATTTTTTTTTTATAGTTAGTATAAGATCCTGTAAAATTATGGTGTCAAGTGTATTTATTTATTATACATACAAAACTTACATGGACCCTTTGTTTCAGAGTAAGAGRCTAAAATATTTGTCCTTTTGAACAACACACGAGCTTTGAGTAAATTAATCCTGGAAGCCTGCCTATTCACAGGTATCAGAAAGACAGCATTTAAAGATCAGATATGTTTCTAGGTCCTGGTATGTATATACAGTTTTCCCCCAACTATGGTATTTTAGAATGAGATTATGAAGTGGGAAAAGACGGTAATAAATATCCAAGCGCCTGGATACTTTCTGAACCTTGATTTGTAGATGGTTGTGATTGATGGCTCCTGAATAAAAGAGAATAGGCATTATTTTCATATGTTTCCTATTCTACATCATCTTGTTATCAGAGCTTAACAAAACATTTTCCCCCTTTTGTTACAATGCATATGACTATCATTCAGTTTAAGTAGAAGTCTGATAAGTAAATTGAAAAACTGAAAAAGTCCTTCAGATTTGACAGTATTATACTTCTTTGATCCTAGAATTGTATTTTTATAGATTATTTTATGAGTTTTGAAAGTCAGTTTAAATATATAAAAGGGAAAATGCCCCCCCTTTCAATGTTAAAATTATTTTTATTTTACAAAATATAAATTGATTATTTTTTAATAAGGTAAGAAATATTCTCCCCCCCCCATTTTAAGTTATTAATTTAACATGTAGCAGCTTCTGGTTAAATGGCAATACATAGTATACAAAATAAATGTTAAATTATATTCAGTTAAGGTATTAAGAATTTTTGAAATTTTTATCATTTTAAACTGATACATAAAAATTGTACTTATTTATATGGTACTCTGTGATGTTTCCATACATGTAAAGATGTTAGGAATTTAGATTAAAAATCTGTAGTCTTAGGTTTGGCCTCAGTCAGGCAGTTTAACCTCTTGCACTCAGCCTTAAAGAGCCATTTCTAGAAGAAAATGTCCACAATATGTCATCAGATATAACACCAAATGTGACACCAGTCCTTTAAAATAAATGATCATACAGAGAATAGTCAATAACAAAGTGATCTAAAAGCAATAATAGTCTCAGGGCCCTACATCTTCWACTACAGGAGGTGGAGAAGGGGAAATACTATGTAAAATTAATTAGGCCACTTTTGCTTTTAGGGTCATATACTTTTTATGTGGTGCTATAGATTTCAGCTACATATTTTTTTTTCTTTACTAAGTTTTGGAGGGCTTTTATTATTTTAATGATTCATTGAAAAAAGCAGCCTGTTTGCAATTTCATCCTTTTCAGCCACACAGATATTACCAGATGCTCTTAAAAATTTAAGTTTACTAATCATATTTCTGTCTTCTAAACTGTCATTTAACAGTAAGTTGTGAGTTCTGAGGTCTATGACAATAAAATTGCATTTATAAAATTTCCTCTTATGTCAGGAAGGGGAGGACTTGATTCTAAAATCACAAAAAGATTAATTCTTATCCAGAGGGAATTATTAGTAACTGATTTTAAAATTTGTGGTGTCACTCTAATGCAGAATTTTAAAACTACATTCTCATCAAAAATAGTACATTCAACCATGTTGAGTTTTCATAGGATTTAATGAATAAATTTTTATTTCATTGTTAAACTTTAATTTTTAAAATAATAATATTATATTAGCATTTTTAATTCTAAGAATCTGTAAAATTATGTTCAATAAAAAAAGATACYTATTAGTGATGCTTTTATTATTAAGAGTATCTTGAACTGTTTAAAGCAGATTTCACTGAAATTACTTTAGATGGTAATTTAAAAGTTAGTACCCTACTTATCTATATTTTCTTGTGCATTTTAAAATTGATAGATGCAAAGTTAAACATTTATGTAATTCCAACCTATTTATTAATATTTTAAACAAATCTTCTAATGATTGATATTTCAAACATTTCAAAGATTTAAAAGCAATAACTTAAATGTGAAATATATATTTTTWAAAAAATAACCAACTATGTATATAGGAGGTGCTTCAGTCCTCTTACAATTAAGGGGGTGAAGTCATACTTAATATTTTTCAAAAAATGTATAAGCTGTACCTATACTTTGTGTGTGTAAGTATATATGTATATATTGTATATATATTATTTTAAATAATAGRGACATAGTAGACAATTATGAAACTCAGCACATAGATTGTACTGTGGTATTGTTTGATGTCAGCATAATTTATGCTAATAAAGAGCTTAATTTGAAAAAATATTTTATTAAATAAAGTAACTTATAGTGACATTCAATTTAAATTTTGTGTTAACTATGAAATTCCACTTTTAAATATGTTTTGGAACATGAAGGTGTCTATCAAAATAAACATTAAAAATCAAGTGTGCAAAACAAAATAGGTGATATGATTTTAAAAAGCAATTGCAATTATATTTTAACATGAATAAAGTGTATGGTTCATTGTTGGATTTAAAATAGAGATTTCTGTGGATGATATGTGCATYCCGTGTTGCTTTATGACTTCTTACTTTTATTTATAATTTATTTAACCAAGGCACAAGACATTTTACAAATGCAGAGTCTTAGAACTTCTTGAACTATATTATCATTTTCAAAGGAAGACATCTAAATAGAAGTGTCATTGGAGATTAGTTATGTATTTAGTAGTAAGAGCCATCTTTTTAATAGATGGATTTGATGTGAAGGAAAGCCTCTGGTGTGAAGGTGGCAGAGTAAATACCTGAAGAGTGATGTTCTCTGTTTGGGCGATCAATACCAGCCCCATGACTCTACTTCTGGCTACCTTCTAGTTAAAAACAAATTTTTTAATTCTGACAATTTAATTGCCCTTCCCAAGTTCACATTAACTTGCTTGGGGAAAAGAGCTTTAGGTAATTTTTCAAACAGAGACCCTCCAAAGTGGTTATTTATAAAAGTCATGTTGTAATGGGAGATTCCTTTAACTTTGCAGAAACTGAGTCATATTTTAAAATTAAAATTAATACTTCCTCTTATAATTAAATAATCTTTATGGAAATTCGCAGCAGCAAGCAAAGGTGGGTATTTGATTCTTGAGGGCATTTCCTTCCATTTTATAGTGTAAAATTTATTAGAAATCTGTCGTTATAATTCCTACCATACTCCTAACGCATAGAGGCCAGTTTGGCATTTATTTATGATCAGAGCATTTTAGATCTGGAAGGAACCTAAGGCAAAAGTCTAGTCTAATTTTATTCTTTCCAGATAAGGAAACTGAGGTAACAAAGGGCTGATGTAATTCTCAGTAGGTAAAGGAGTAAAGCCCAGATTATCTGAGGACTGGTCAAATTTTCWTATCAGTGTGCAGTGATATCTTCTGAAATTCACTGTTAATTRTAATGGGAATGTTATATTCAAATTGAAGCCACATAAAAGTATTTTAAATGGTAGAAATATTGGTCTTAATTCAAATACTAAAACAGTTTAGCAGTAGAATCCTATTGAATTCAAGACATTTTTATTTTGTAGAGAATAAGAATGCTAAGAGAAATATATGAGGATAATTTAACCTAGTTTAAAACTACCTTCTAGTTAAAAACAAATTTTTTAATTCTGACAATTTAATTGCCCTTCCYATATTGTAAATGTATGGAATGATACAGAAAACTCATTTGGTTTTCTAGGGATGATAGATGATGTAAAGATCATAAATCAGGTCATTGTCTCTTCACTGAAGTAATACCAGATAGTATTGCTGCCTTTATAAGATCAGTATATACTGGGTTCTGCATCAAAAACTTTTGGGGAGCCCATGATCATTAGGATATGTACTTGTCTTTTTTTTTTTTTAATCATTCTTTGTTGTTTCAGTAGTTTTTCCATAGTAAATTTTCTTGACCTGGAACCCTAAGGAAATGGCATATGCTGTAAAGGGGATTTAATTAGATAGGACAGTCAATGATTGTGAGCTGCTTTTTATGTGTCCTTTTTAAGAATACAGTTATGGTATATGCTTCACATTACACTGAGTGGAAACCCATATCTGTTTTATGTACATTTGAAGTCACGTTGTTATTTCAGTAGTAATCTTTGTTTTTTTAAATGCAAAGTGACTAATTCTTCTTTTACTATACTTGGACTATTGATTCCTGTTTACTGGCTCAGTGGGTGTTTGAGAGAGCATTTTCTCTAAAGAACATRATCTTTACATTTTGAGGACCAGCCTCTCTTTTAGACCTCTTATTGCTRTTATCCTTGAATAAAGTCATGTTTTAAAGATAGCATTTTTGATAAATTTCTCCATGTTTAGGTAATAATACATTTTAGTTATTAAGATAAATATTAAACCAGAATAAAGAAGACAAGTGATAAAGATAGTATGTTAATAATGATATGAAAAAATGTAAAAAGTGATCTTGTTCAGTAACAAATTCATTAGCAGAAATTATCTGAATTGAACTTTAAAAGTGAACCAAAAGTATTATCTGACATCATCCGGTTAAAATTTTAGACAACTATAAGAATATACTCAAAGAAGATATCAAAATAGTTACTTGTTTAAAATGGTTGAGTAGAAGACAAATGAAAGTTAAAAATATGCTTTTCCCTGGAACMTATAAACATAATTACCTTTTAATTTGTGCTTGGGAAAGTTTTGTTGTAATTTAGGAAAGRAAAAAAAAAAAGTTCCTTAGCAGAAAGCTATTAGACCACTGAGAATTGAACACCGCGCATGTGGTGTGTATTAGAGTACTGTTGGTAATTTTACTGCTGCTAACTTAAAATCCTCAAGGGGGAGTTAATTACAGGAAAACCATTCTAAATATCAGTAAGCTGCATATTTTCTATGACAAGAGGTTTTTCAGTTGAGGTTGAACAATTCCAGAATCTGAGCTTGTAAAAATATGTAAATAAATAAATTAAAGTGGGTGTTTGTATGTATACCTACAGCACTCAAAATTTTTTTTCATGAAACTATTTAATTCAAAAGTTACTTTGTTTTAATATGAGTCAGAATGATGAGACCATATTTAAAAATTTAAATCCCTGTTGGAAGGAATAACACATTATATTTTTAGTGGTCATTTAAGTTGAATGTGAATTTATTTATTGAGTTATTTTAAGCGCTTGCATATTGCTACTGAGGACTCTCAATTTTTATAAATGTTTGCAGATTAAAATGTTTTTTTTTCTTTTTTTCTATTAAGCTTGGTATCTACTTCAGGATCTGTATGGTAGTGATCACAGAGAAAGTAATGAATGGACTGGGTGTTGAATTTAGTTGTTTCTGATAAGTTTGACACATGTTCTCAAATTTGGGATTGGAAATGATTTTTTTTTAAGTTCTCATTCATTTTGATTCTGTTTTAACTTTTAAATTGCAATCTGAGAAAAATAAGGATTAGGAAACAATAGTAAATTACATATACATTTATATTTGCACTGTGGTTTTCATTCCCCCCCCCACCCCTGCACCTTCTTACCAGCTAAGTGCTAGTATGGCATAGTGGTTAGGAGCCTAGATTCTGGCACCAGAAGGCTTGTTTTTTTATATCGTGACTCCAACTGTCATGAGTCCTGTTACCTTAAGTAAACTCTGTAACCTCTCTGAGCCTGCTTTCTTATTTGAAAATGAGGAATTAACAGAAGGTTTGTGAGAATTAAATGAGTTAAATATTAAAGTGTTTTGAACATTCCCTGGCCCATGGGCTATGTAATATTAACCTTATTGTTAGTATTTCTGCTTTGAAGAAGGAAGTTATAAATTAAGAAAATAAAGAGAATATATATAGCATTCTGATTCTGTGCTAAGATGTAACTAGCAAATGGTAACATGTTATAACATACTATATAAGAAAGATGATGYTTTCTTTTGTATGTCTCAGTGACAAGTTTATCATAGTAAAGTTGATTACAAATTGGAMAGAGGTTTGTTTGGGCTCAGGCAGTGTTTCTGATTCTAGAGTAAGGAAATYTACGTGCTTGAAATAGAAAGTATGATAATAAAGACATAGTGTTATTTTCCTAAAAATTAGTGATTAATTAATATATTTCTCTGTAGGTTTAAAAAAATATTTTAATTAGGTGTATTAACTTTTCAAATATTTATTGAGACTTTCATCTTTGTGTAGCTTACTGTGGGTATGAAAGAAAATAAGATTTCTATTTACCTACAGAATATATTCAAAGGTAAATAGAGAAAGCTTCTTCATGACTTTCCTATTTAATAGAAAAACTCTGTTTTTTTTTWAATTTCTTAGTTGTCAGTAGACTTTATTTATTTATATGTGGTGCTGAGAATTGAACCTAGTACCTCACACATGCTAGGCAAGTGCTCTACCACTGTGCCACAACCCCAGCCCCTCTATGTTCTTTTTAGTGCTATAAATATTATATGAAAGTGGTATACATGGTGAATTTTCTGTCTCTGTCTCTCTCTCTCTCTCTGTCTCTCACACACACACACACACACACACACACACACACACACACACCCTTCTTTTACCCTTAATATTACAAAAAACCATAGCTGTTAAATGCAAAGAAGCTGTGATCTGCCAGGTTAACCAAATAACATACGTGCAGCTTATTTAAATATTTAGACTATCTTATATAGGTAACTATTAGCCATGTTAACTGCAAACTGGTTGCTGTATTCTTTGACTGGGGGTCTAAACCTGGGCGGAAACTACAGTGGAGCAGAAAGCCTTGCCATCAGATTTCCATATCAATGGCTGCAGTGTGGTTGAGTCAGGTGCTTTAACTCTGGGATGTCCCTTGTTARAAACCAGAATGTCCATGGAATAGTGAAGATTCTAAGCTTTCTCATGTGTGGCACCATTAATTACTAATAATAATGTTAGGAAAAGATAAACATGAGCGTTTACAAATCATAAACCATATCTGTTTTTCCATTTTTCTTAAAGAGAAACCTGCTCAAAGCAATACAGTGACCCTAGAGAGGGACATGAGGTTTTTTAGCCAGAGTTTCAGAGTTCCAGTGTGTTCTTCCAGTCCCATCTCTGCTTCTGTTGACTGTAGGTTCTTCTTGGAGCCTAATGCCTAGATCAGTGTTCCCTCCCCTCTTTCCTCTGGCAGTCACTGCCATGTCCCAGTGCCAGAGTCTGGTGCTGCTGCTCTCCACAGGCTGCTCCAGTCAGGCTGCATGAGGCCCTTTACCCAGATGCCTCTCATCCTGCTCCTTCTGTTATGTTTGCCCCTGGGGTGCCTTAGCCCTTTAGTTTAAACATGTGGAGGAGGGAGTATTCAGCCTCCACTAGGTTTCTGCAAGGCCTTGCTCTCAGATATTTGTATAAGGGCTGATGGGGCGGGGAGTAGATGTGTGAAAATGTGAACAAGGGCAATGTGAAAGAGGGAGGAGGGGATAAAAAAGAGAATGCAGCTGGGGTGTCTTTATTAGTGTCTGATATGGCTTCAGGGTCCGGGCCTGATTCCTTATTGGCTGCAAATCTCTCCTAGCTCTGAATCTTCTTATTTGTGGATTCCCTCCACAGCCACTCTCAGTCATTTCAAAATCTTTGTCAATATAGGAGGAATTAATGAGTCCTTCTTATTTACAATGTTAAATATATTTTTTCCCAAACTAACTTATGATTTTTCCTAACAAATTTAAAAAGAAAGAAAAAAGGTGTTGCTTTGGAAGCCTCTCCAGTCCTAACTATAAGTAAATAAAAGGCTGGRTGAGCTGTGCAGGGGTCAGATTTAATGGGATTAGGGTGCTTGTTCAGGGTAACATTACACTAGCCTGGGGAATCCCGTTTRTCAGAAGGAGTGCATGTGCCATCCCAGTTACTTTCCCCACTGCGGGTGACTCTGTGTATAAAAGCTGGGCCATCTCTGGCCACCTGCCCTTACCTCAACGCCTACCCCTCTGCCAGAGTGCTCCTCCCGATGCTGATGGACAGCTTTGTTTCCTTTTCATTTCAGCTGCAGATGAAGATATCCTTGCTAAAGGAAAACAGTCCATCAAGAGTCAGGCTTTAGGAAATCAGAACTCAGAAAACGAGGTCCTCCTGGAAGGTGACGACGATACTCTATCATCCGTGGATGAGAAAGATTTAGAGAATCTTGCCGGTAATTCAGTGGTTGTGCAGATATTTCAGCTGGGTCTGGGACAATGAGCATCTAATTACTTACTTTTTCAGCTGTGACCACGAGGACTACCAAGCTTAYACCCACTATTACATTAATTAGAGATTGTTTTTGTTCTTCCCAGCACCCCACCTCCCACTTCATCTTCTACAATTTCTCCTTTATTTTTCTGTTCTATTCGGTCTCTTTACCCTCCTCATCTTTTTCTTTTATGTATGATTTTCACTGAAAAAGAAAAAAAGTTTAAAAAGCAGCTACAACAAAATTGCTTTGCCCATCCTATGGGAGTTACCAAATCTCTATAAAATGAAGGCTATAAGTGAAATTCTGCCAATTGTTTTATAAATAAAGCTTGGAGGCAGATGAGCTATTTACTTTGATATACAAGTCTTAGTGAACATACTGCATATACATTTAACTCACTCAAAAAATCAATTCCAAGAATGCCATGGCTGTTCATGGGGTTCACATATTTTGCTTGATGTAGAAATTTTGATTTGCACTCTGCAGATTCTCAGTTTTACTTCCCTTATGGGAAAAATTCTCTTGTTTAGCCTGAAATTTTAGTCATTCATTAAATGCCTTATTTTCTTTAACGCCTGTGGCTCTGTTCCTCAAGGAGGAAACTATGCAAGAGTCCACCATTTCTGTGGGTGAATTATGTATTAATGGAAGAATTACATATTCTTGCATTATCATGATTTTAAGATAATTCATTGGAAAGCTTTTATTTGGTTATATATCTGCAAACTGTGCTGTGATGCAACTTCATAATGAAAAACCAAAATAGAAATCGATTCATCGTCTCTGATGATGATATGCCTTTCTGTAAAGTGAAATAAAATTAATTTGAGTACACTGTTAAGGGATTTGGAGAGGGAATGGGGAAGTGGATACTGCCATTCTCAAATATTTTCCTTCACATCCACTTACCCATTTTGTCCTTTATTTTGCCTCTATTCTTGCTACCAGTAATACATTCATACAGTAATAGAGGTGAAAGGGGAGTTTAATTATATAATCTTGACAATGGCAATAGGATTAAGAAGTAATCCACACTAATAAAGTGGTGTGGGTTAGAAATGAAGTGGAAATTGTCAGGGGTCTTCTGTAGGACCTAGGCTGCCCTAGCTCCTGCAGCTGTCTGCTTACCCTATAATTGAATGTCTAAGAGTGATTGAAAAAATGTTATTTCTTCTCAGGATTACATGCTAATGTACAGAGGGCAAAAGGAGACAGCAAAAGAACACATAGCTGCTTATTTCATCCATTTATAGGGATGAGCTTTGGGAAATCATGGCTGTTCTGCAGCTATCTGCTGCCCATCTGCAAACACAATGTATTTGTACATTGGGAATAGAGGGCAAAACGTGCTCTGATCTCTGCAGAGCATCCCTTCTATTGTCCTACTGGCACACATTAAGATTGATGTGAGATTAAGGACCATCACCCTTCTAACAATCGATGGAAATGTCAGTTCATCTGAATTTTGAAACACTTATTCACTCATTGATTACCTGAATAGGTGCACCTTGTTTATAGGCACTATATTAATTCAGAACTATAAATGCCAATCTTCTCTTTGGCAGTTTTCTTCTTCTATAGGAGTTGCACAATGATCAATTGCTATAGAAATTCAAAGTCTTTCTGCATCTTTCTCTATATAAGTGTATATATATTACATAATTATTATTTTGGGTCCTTATTTTAGGTTTAAATTTAATATACTTTATGCTCTTCTATCTGTAGTGAATCTTTTGTTTTCAGTAGCAGTCTGATTTGTCTCTTTGATAAGCCCTGTGGAGATTTGATTATTCCAATAAAAATTCATTCACTTGGAAACCCACCCTCCAGCTGTTTACTCCCAATGTCCCTGAACTACACTAATATTAGATTTGGAAGCTTTGAACAATATTTAACAGTGGAAAGGAAGGGTTAGGAAATAAGTATTTTTACCAGTCTTTCTCAGGGTAAAGTTGTTGCAGAAGAGGTTTTGTGTCAATCTGGCATAAAATTTTTTTCCAAGAATAAAGTTTATCAGAGAATTTCCCACTTATTAATAAGCTAGTGACCTTTTTTGTAGTCATGCCTCAGCCAAACTCTAAGCTCACCTCTGGCCTTGGAATCCTATTGAGGCTTCCTTTCTCCTGGTTGTTATTCCATGTTGTTTGATAGCCTGAGGCTTGTTTTATAAATGGAATGTAGATGCACTTATTTAGGCAGAGCTACCTTTTTGCCCAGAGATGAGACCAGAGCATAGCGCACTCCTTGTAAAGTAATTGCATCCTAGTTTACTGTTGTCATTAACTGCCTGTTATAAATCTTTTAGTATGAGAATCCTGACTTTGCATTTTTCAGAGGAAGATTTGGGATGGAAAAGATGTGAAAGTATAGAAGGAGTTAACAGGAATTTTGGTACTAGGCATTTTTGTACTTTTAGTTCTTCAAAAATTAATAAATTTTCTGGTCAAATTTAGTTTTTTGCAAAGTGTCATTCTAACTTATATGGCTCATCTTTTCCTCTTGGCAGGTCCYGTTAGCCTGAGCACACCAGCTCAGCTTGTGGCCCCCTCTGTTGTAGTAAAGGGCACTCTTTCTGTCACCTCCTCTGAACTCTATTTTGAGGTGGATGAAGAGGATCCCAACTTCAAGAAAATTGACCCCAAGGTGAGATGAAGAGGTGGTTTCATTTTTTCTTATTATAGGATGTGGGCTGCTGTTAGGTGAGATTAGCATTGGCAAAATCTCATGGGCTTAGTTTGAATTTCTTGCTGAATTAACTCTGTGTACATGTAAGGCAGTTTTCTTTTTTAGTTTGCTTCTTTTGCCATCTAGATTATTGAAGTTCATTTAGATTCAAAAACAGTTTTCACTTAATTGCATTTATCATTAGCTCTTTGGTGAGGGGGAAGCTCAGGGAACATTGTCTATAAATTTATTTTTGTTTGAATGGGTCTAGGGTGAATTAAGCTACAAAATTTAGTGAGATTGAAAGTGAAATTACTTTGTTTAGCTTTTATGTTTTCTGGATATAATACCAATATATCATTTTCCTTGCTTTGTCCCCATGACTTACTACTTTGTTGTGCATGCAGCAAGCCCGTTCTGCGTGTGTATCATACCTCTGTTTCCCATTACCTGTAGTAGATTTTACAAGGCACTGCATAATTTCCTATGTTTAAATGAAAATATAATTTCTCTTTTAAAATGTATTTCTGATTACTTTTCTGACTGTGGCAACTTTAGTTTTACTAAGAAAGATTGYATTTCTTAACAGTCATAAAGCCAAAATTCCATTTATTTCTTGAAAGTAAATATTACAGTTTGCTCAGAGTTTCTTTAAAAATAAGCAAAATAAGGAACCTGTAGAAAGAGGCCTAGTTTGCATTTTTGTTTTACAGGCTGTGTGTGTGTTTGTGTGTGTACCTATATATTCTAAGTTTATTGGTTAGTGAGGGCTTTTGGTTTTGAAATCATATCTGAATTGTTAAACCTTAATGATTTGGAAGTATTTCAAAATAGCAGTTAATGAAAATGTTTTAATTTTATTAAAAACTTTACAAACAAATAATTTCTCATCTTATGCATGTTTTTAGCACTTTATTTCCATCTTGCTGCCTGTATTAAAAGAGGAATTGGTAGACTGTATAACAAGGCCATGATGGAATGGATTGTTTCAAGCCAGATAATTCAGCTAATCCAATGTAAAGAAAACTTTCAAATTCTGAAATGATATCACTTAGAAAAATGTTCTATTTTGTTGCATGGCTGAAATATCTGGAAATGTGTTTTAGTTTCTTTAAGAAGGGAAAGTTACCAAAATTATATAAACTCTTAGTTTCTGGTAGTTTGCAATATAAGAGAAGCTGAGATTTAATTCAGAACATTCTGTTATGATTTTGAACACACATGGGTTAAAGTCTAAAATCTGAATTAGTTTAAAGGTGTCTAATGAATTGTTTTCAAAATTAAAACCTCTACTGGTCTTTGAGATTAGATTCTTTGAAGTTATTTGCTCCTTTAGGGAAAGCTATAGTTTTTTTTCTCTCTTAATCCCATTCTGTACAGCGCCATTAAATTAAATTTTCTTTCTCTGTTGATTGTGAAATTCAGGATCTTTTGGCCCAATCATAGAAGTTATCTTATACTACTGTCTTCTGCCTAATATCCCAGAAATCATACTCCTGCCAGTTCATATTCAAATGTTTTTTCAGGCAATTATTGGAAGAATGTTTTGATATTGCTTAGGCAATGATGCTTTAAGGTATTTTGTGAATTAAGAACATTTATTGCTGATGTGTTTTTCTTTAAAATTTTTTCCCCTGATATCTGCATAACAACAAAGAAAATATACTGAATTGGGGTATTTTTTGGTTTTTTTTTCTTGTTAAGACTTAACTTTTTTATGGACCGTTTGGAGGAAGCTCTGTATCTGATGCTGTACATACTTTTCTGAGTGGAAAAAAAAAGTCATTCTAAGATTGCATTTTTATCTTTTTAAAGAAACAGTGTGCCCTTACATTATTTCATGCAGATAACCATTGCTTACTTTGAAAATGTTCTTAAAATTTAGAACATTTTACCTAGAGGATAAATTTGTTTTGTTATTTTAAAAAATGTGTGAGTGTTCTGAACTAGGGMGTTTGTTTTATATCTAAGGGGAGAGAGACCAGAAAAATAGATCTTATATACAAGGTTGGAGGTGATTTCAGAACTGATAAGATCAAAGTTTATATTTCTATCACAAGACTATCTTCACCAGGAAATATTTGCCAGGGAAACCTACAACTTAAGTCTGTTCYGTCAAGTGAACCAGACCTCAGACCCCTGAGTAGCTTCCTTGTGTTTTTCATCCATCTCTGCTATCCTGCTGCTCATCCCTTCATATACCACCTCCCCCACTCAAACTTCTTCCTCTCATCTTAAAATTGCTTTCTAGAGTATTTTCCTCTTCTTCTCTCATTCATCAATTTTTTTCAATAAATTAAAAACTAGGCTAGTTCCAAGAATAAATATTGGAGGAAAACATCTGACATATTCTGTACCTTTGCCTCATAGTAGCAAAGCTAATGGAATTTATAGTTACCTCTAGCATAAAGAAGGCAAACCAATTCCTTTAGAATAYTTTGTTTTATTGATTATTTTATATCCCAAACAGTTGTTTCCTTGCATTAAAAAGAAACCTTTGTTAAAGTTGAAACACTGAAATAAGTTTATTGGATTGTTATCTTAGAAAAGGAGAAAGAGGAGGATTTTCTATTTGTAAACTCTCAGAATATTTTTTCTTTGATCATAAAAATGGTATCAGGATCTTTTTGTTTGAATTGTATATAAGCACGTTCAGAATGCTTCTTGAAATTTGATAAAATTATCATAGCTATGGCATTTAGCCCTAACCCATTTTAAGTTGAAGTAATTTATAAATCTGAATTGTTCATAKTACCATTTGCTGGAGGAGAGGAATATTGCTGTAATCATTTTTATTATTTTTGGTGTGGTTAATTCATTTGTTAAGTTTTTATTATTCAAAAAGAGGACAAATGGTTGAAGGAAAAGTATCAACAGGCTTTGTTGACTATTCAGAAAAGGTCCATAAATATTTCCTTTCTATTGTATATTTTTTTTTAAAAAAGCCTGGCATAATAAAGCAAATCTCTTTATTTTTTTATTGTGAAAATGTTTTTCCTATTTTGAAAATTAGGTTGAAAATCTGTTTTTTCCAAGTATGAAATGTTACTTTTCATCTTAAAATCTGCAAAACAAATATATTAGARTTGAGTAAAATTAATCTTTTTTTCCTAAGTATTTCAATTAGAACTTTTGCAGTTAATTCTATAAAAGGTTACATTTTAAAATTTGCAAGTCAGAGTTCAAATGGAAGCTTCTTGCATTTAGTTCCTCAAGTTCACACACTTACATTGTAAATTAGAAAGTGATCTCACCTGCCTTCATTTAAGAACAATCCACAGTCAATTACAATGTAAAGTCATATTTTTATTACTATTTCCAACAAGACGTTTTAAGGTGAGGGTAGAGGTGCAAGAGAAGGAGGAGCACAATCTGACATTGGCACTGAGATACATTTAGCATCAGTAAAACTTTTTTAAAAGGGAATTTTACATATAGTTAAATAATTTTTTCACTTGGTGACAACATTCAGGCAACCAAAAACAAAACAGAGAGAAAGGGAGGGGAAGGGGGTGGGGAGAGATGTGTAAAGAAGGAAAAGGGGGGAACTACTATACATTGATTTGAAAATGTACCTTGGGTTTCATTTTGTGATGGCAAAGCCCGATTGCTTCTTTTATGTGATCTTTTAAATTCACATTGTTTGGAAGAAAATGATCACTTTTGTGCAAGAATGTGATTTTTTTTTTTTTTTGGTTGGTTTGCTCTCTTTTGTTTACTTCTTAATTCACGAAGGTCTTCTGTCCGATTCCTGTTTTGTTTCGGGTGACTTTCATAAAAGTTTGTGTCCAGATTTTCCGTTCTTTATCGCTGAGTGATGGGTTGTGTGTATGAGAGAGCACGCCGGCTTATGTGRCTTTTCAAACAGTCCCCAGCACCCTATAGTTTGTCCAGGCTTTTGGGATTGGTGAGGATTTCCCTGGCCAACCTCCAGGTCTGCTTGGCAGCGCTCTCCAGGGCCGAGTGTGGCTTGCCCTGAAAGAGGTCGAGGTTGGGCAGAAAGTAGTGCGGGCAGCGGCGGCATTGCAGGCAGGAGATGAGCTGCAGCAGGATGCCATTGAGCCGGTCGCCCAGGCAAGCTTCGTCCCAGTCCGTTTCCCGCGGGTGTTTCTCGCACTCGTACAACAGCAGCGTCTTCATGTGATAGTTATTGAGTGGCTGGCCGGGCAGCTCCAGGTGGCGGTCCCGCAGCGTCTTGAGCACCGAGAGACACTTGTTTCGGCAGCCGCCCATCAGAAGGCGGTTTTCTGCCTCCCCGAACTGTAGCACCCACGCGTCGCTCTCAGCCGAGCTCTGCTTGCCGGTCAGCGAGTAGCACTCCTTGGAGAGCAAGTTGAACCCTTCGGCCTTGACCTCCGCCACCCGATTGGGGCCAGGCCAGGGGATGTGGGGCATAGGCCACTGTGCCGCGCTTCGAGGCCAGATCCCGGTGCACTTGAACGCTGGCGTGATTTGTACCACATAGCGTTCCCTGATGCGCAGCTTGACCTCGCTGGTATCCGCGATCATCTTGACCACATCCCGGTAGCTGCACTTGTCCACCGCCTGGGCSACTAGCGTCTGGAAACGGGAGCGGATCTTGCGCGCTGAGAGGTAGCCGGACGCCGTGATGAACTCGACCCAGAGAGACATGCTCCGCTTCCGCCCATCACTCAATTTGAGCACCGCGCAGCCGGGCAGCGAGCCGTCGTCCACAAAGTTGAAAACGCCCATCTGGTTTAGGTAGAGCACCACCTCGAATTCGGTGGGCGAGATGACCTCGAGCCCCTCATAGCGAGCATCGATCTCGCTCAGAGAGCTGATGAAGCGAGGCTCCTGCACCTCCACCTCCTTTAGCACATCGGAGACCACCTTACAGACCTCTCGGATGGTCTTGGCTATGGCCGCCTTGCGCGCTTGGCAACGCTCAGTATAGTATTTATTGAGCTGGTAAACCAGCTTGGCCTGAGCGGCGATCATGTTGGGGCACAGGTCCGGGC